GAACACAAGCCTGTAAGGGCTGTGAAAATGGCCGGACTTAATTCACTTTCATGTTCCAGTGAATGTTTGCAAATATTTCTTTGCCATAGCCACCCAGCTCTTCCAGATGTTGTGGCTGGCTCTTGGAAGTGCCTGTGCGCAAGCTGAGCTAATAATATTAATCAAACCTCATGTTAACTTCCAGGGCATTCAGCGATTATTGCAGGAATTTTCTCTGCTGTGAGCAATTTTGCTCAGTTGGCTGGGATACGCAGTGGTGGGGTTTCCTCGTCTTTATCTTCTTCTGAAATACGGAGTGTGGGTTGCTGCTCTGGACAGGATAATGGTAGGATGGGCCATTATAATCAAAGTAGAAGGAAGAAATAGTTTCCAGTGCTAGAAATGTAAGCTCGATCCGTGCAGTAACTGGCATTTGGGACCACCACAACTTCACCCAGTCGCGGTGTGTGAGAAGGTGCTGCCGCCGAGGGGCAGGTGCTGGGTGCGCTGGCTGGAGGAACACCGCTGCGGTCGCAGGCAGCTTGGTGGCTTTTGCTCTGCAAGTGACTGTCCTCCCTGGCTTAACACCCACCATCACATATGGGAGTTGTGGAGGCTGCCACGGCCAGGACAAAATCACAGCTTTTTGGGGTGAGGACGCCGTCACGGTTGAGCCGTTTCCAGACTCCTTTTGGTCTTTGGTTACTTTATTGCTTTGAGTTTCGTGTCTTCCATGTGAACACATGTGCTTACACATCATGTTTTATCTCTTATCTCTGCTTCAACATTTGCTCTTTTCAAGCGGCACATGCTATCCTGCGAACTGGGTAGTTTTACTTGCATCTGTCCAGGTTCTGTTGTGTCACGTCCTTTGGTTTGGAGGGGAAGTCTCCACCCAGACCATCTCCAGGTCTTGAGTGGAGGATGGCTCTTATTAGGAGGGTATTGCTATTACTAATAACACTTACAAATTTCTTGCAGTAGTTGCTAATAGAGGCAGTTGTGCAGTTTAAACATAATTTGTTTGAAAATTCCTTACTTTCAATTAGGTGTACTTTCATGACTGACAGTGATTTATCTGAAACTTGGCAACTGTGAGGCAATGACGCAATGACACCATCGTGCATTACCTGACTAATTTTAACCTGCTGAGTCCCATCAGTCTCTACTAACAATACCCCTCAGGACTGTGTGCGCTGCAGAAGGCGGGTGCTGGGGCACTGCTGGTTTGAAGGAGGCAGAGAGACAGTGAGGAAGGCTGGTGAAACAGGTCTGCTGGGAGACTATTACTGTTTTGGACAAGCATCAGACAGTATCTTGTGCTTAAGAACATAATTCTCATCAGGTGGATCAGCACAACTTTTAATTTTTTAATACAAAGGGTTTTTCAGAAAAGCGTCATACCTTTGTCAAGACAGAAATATTGGAAAAAAGTAAATTGCATTGCATATTTCCCTCCAGATTGGCTTTGACAACACTTGTGCCAATGCAAGCTTTACTGCAAGCTCTCATCCTCTTTTTTTTTTTTTATTTGAATGCATCATTTTCTGTGCTCTTCAACAATAGACCAAGCGAGCTTGAGCTCCCATGCAGTGGTGTTGAGTTAGGCATCATGTGGACAGTGGCAATCAGTATTAACTTCGCAAACTTAGGAGCAGGTCCTGCTCACCTCATTTACTTGGGTTTTGCTCTGAGGCCAATGAATCCTGTTCATCACTGCAAGACAGATCTTGCATGGATTCCTTTATCCGTAGTTCACTTATGAATTTTATCCACAGCAAATGTTTTAGAAATAATTTGCTGATTAACAAGTAAATAAGCCTAATTTGTTATTCTTTAGATGCTTGTGGCATATGACCTTCCTCACTTAATCATTGGCTGAGGACCTGATCCGTTCTGGGTGTCGGTGGTGTCTGCACGGCTGACACAGACCTCGCTGCCTGCCGCCAGCACAGCGCAGCAGAGCTGCGGCTCTGATCCCGGCCGGGCGCCCAGGCACACGGAGCCGGGTGCTGGGTCCTGCTCTGGAAACGCGCTGTCTCTGCCTCTTCTGTCGGTGTCCTCAGCTGAGAGGCCGGTCTCCTGGAGCCCTGCAGTAAATGCTCCTTGCAGAAACACCACCGCGATCGCTGGGCCCCTCGTGACAGCAGTTCAGCGGTGGGACTCTTTCCTCTTTCTCTGCGGCAGAGGAAGAAAGCTGCTGTCACAAAGACTAATCTCAAGGCGCTGGCTTTTCCTGTACCGAGACCAGCATGTCCTGTACGTTCAGGGAGACCTAAGAATAAAAAATATTGGGTACTGTGTGCATCGTAAGGGATGTGAACAAATACAAATAAGAAAAATGTTTCCCTTTCTTAATTCTCTGCACAGTCCTATTTGAGTTCTAAAATTTTATAAATTAAAAGTTATTCAGGTATATTTACATTCAAGATAGTAAGTGAAAATTGAACACTTCATCAAATACCGTTTATTTAGGGAGTCTTTTTTTTTGCCCTGTGATTTTCCTGAACTGGCACCATAATGTCAGCTTGGGATTCACTGGCCTGCACTCCCGCCGCTGCTAGCCGTGTGTTGGTGGAGCAGCCCGTGCTGTTCCCTGCCCTGCGCACAGAGTGCTGCCAGCGGAGCAGCTCCGCAGCACAGATGTGCCCCAGTGGAAACGCTCCCCCGGGGAGGTGGAAACGCTTGTTACTCTTCCGAGGCAGGCGCAGACTGTGTAGGGGAGGGAGAGGGTCTGGGGTGTGATGGGGCTCCGGGGTAACAGGAAAGAAAAGTTCCCCACGCTGGAGCAAAGGCAGGCTGTGCTAATGCCATCTCTGCCTGCTGAAACTCTGCATTTGGCTATTATGCAGTGAACTCTGCTCTGTGCTTCAGCTCTGCTCCTCGGTACCACTTATTTATCAAAACTGACTAAAAAAACCCAACACTAGCTACAGGGGACTGTAATCCACTTTGGAGTTCAGGGAACGTGAGCATCTTTGACCTACTGATGTTGGATTCTTCATTTGAGCAGTGAGTGAGGGTATCCTACAGAACGCAAACCCAGAGCGCAGCTGTGCTAGGCTGAGGTGCGTAACGGAGCTTTGTGTTGATTTTGCACATGGTTGCACTAATGCAGCGCATGGCTGAGCAGGCAGCAGCGCTGCTCTGGAGCCGTGTTCTCCTGTCGTTTATAGCATCGTGTCCTCAGGTTCTAATTAGTTTCTCTGTATGGTGTTATGATACTGTTTTGAATACGGGCATCTCTGACATCCTATAATCAACTATTAAAAGCATTTTCCAGTTTAAACCAGGGACTTCCAGACTAGTTTAAGATTATTTTTTAATATCACTGTGATCGTGTAACAAGCTGTTGAGTTCCTGTTTTGTATCTGGTGTAGCAGCTGGTTAAATGAAAGAAATACAGCTTGCCTCATGAAGTGTGGTAAACCCACACTGCTCGGCTTTGTGGAATATGAGAAAGACAATGTGAAGAAAAGTCTTAAGGAGGTTAAACATTCACAGCCATTTTTTGGCATCTTTGGCATGTTCCAGCATCACCCTCGTGCAGTGGGAACTCTCAGGGTCTATCAGAGACATTACGGTCCCTGCATTAGTTAGTGCTGCAGCAGGTCCGGTCTCACCTCTTGCGCTCTGGGTGACTATGAACAAAATGGTGGGTGAGAGGAAATGCAGGCTGCTTGTCAAGACGTTGTTGGCTTTGTCTTGCCTTGCACCGTTCTTCTATTTACTCACTGTTTTTATCCCACAGAAAGCCCTCCTTCCAGGGCTGGGGGGGGGCTGTCTGCATCAGCTTGGGCATCCTCCCTGACAGAAGCAGTGCATTCCTGGGGCTGTTTTAGCTCCGAGAGGGTTTTCTGTGTTCCCGGGCTGGCAGGCTGGCTCCTCCTGGGGAGAGGGGAGCAAGCCCCAGCCTGCGTTGGCCGCTGAGCTGCCCAGCCCCAGCCAGGGTGGACAACAGCCACTGCCTTGCCATTTCAGAGGGTCTGTGGGAAGGACCCCATGGAGGGGCTGTTGAGGACATGAGGAGTTACAAGGTGAGGGCTGAAGTTTGGGGGGTTTTGTCTTCGGGCTTTTTGCGGTGATTTGACTACGAGCAGTGGAGAAGAACTAAAGAAGTGATTGATTTCAGTGAGGAAGAAGGTGATGAAAGAAAGATGACCGTGGCTGCACCGGGCAGGGAGAGGACATGTGCACCAAGGCAGATTTTGAGGATGAGAAAAATATATTTGCAACAGAGATTACTTGAAAGTATTAAGAATGGAAGCAAGGAAAAATAATGGAGTGACAGTGGGAACGAGTCATGAGTACATGGTAGTATACTTTGGAAGGAACAATTCTAGCTGCTCTTCATGTTAGCTGTGAAATCCAGAGGAAGAAGTCCCGGGACATCATTTAGGATGTTTCAGTTAAACTCTTTAATTTCTGTGGTTAATGGAAATGAATGGTGGCTAAAGATCATACAAAGTCCTAAAATGAAGAAATTATAAGAAAAATGTTATCCTGGTGCTCCATTAAAAGAAGTGAATAGGGAGACCTGTGCCCGTAAGAGACTGACAGTGGGAATGATCTGGAGGACACGGAGGGTTCGGGGCTGGTTTACCTGTTTGGGGAAGTTTCAGTATCGATTTCAAGTAGTGGAGGGTGCACAGGGAGTGAAAACTCCCAGTTGTGCTACAATCCAGGAGACACACGATCAGTTGTGTATACATCCCCAGCGTTCAAATGTATTGATGGCTTCCTTTAAAACAAGCGCATGTGAAAGAGAATATTTTTGGTGGTTTTCTGGCACAGTGAAAAATCGGCTGGAGAAGCTTGCTGCGGGGTGGGAAGAAGGAGCTGTCCCAGTGGCGGTGACGCTAGGTCCCTGAGCCGGGGGACACCATGGGTGCAGGAGCTGGCGTGCGGGCCGGCAGGGCAGAGGCGGGTGCAGAGACGCTCCCTGCACGCTGCCGGTTGTGTGAGTTGATGGAGTTGCATTGCACGGTTCTCCTAACGCTCTCTCTGTGAACCCTTTCCAGCCCACGACCTTCCCCCGAGCAAGACCTCGGCCACGGCGCAGACCGGCAGCCACCTGCAGTGCCTCTCGGTCCACTGCACGGACGACGTGGGTGAGGCGAAGGGCCGGACTGCGGTGCCGACGTGGAGGTCCCTGCACTCGGACATCTCCAACAGATTTGGGACTTTTGTGGCTGCCCTGACTTGAACAAAAGAAATTATTTTTTTTCTCTTTTTAATTTCAAAGGGCCGCTACTGCTAGGTGGACTATTTTTCTAGGTTGGTACCTGCTTAGTGGCATATGGACTGGAAAGGGTTAATTTAAAGTAAACCTCAACTTTTTTTTAATCTTCTGCCACAGTATGTTACCAGTGTTAACCCTTCTGCAGTTAGCACACTTTTGCTTAAGATTTTCCTGCTAGACCACTTTTTCCCATTATTCTGTAACCTTGGCATACATTTATAGATGAGGCCTTTTCCTTTTTCATCTCAGCGTATGTCCAAGTCACGTATGTCATAATAAGACAAAGATCCTCCTCCTCTTTTTCTTCCTCATTTGCTTTGTTTTTCTTTTTTTGTTTTGCTTTGTTCAGTGCTTATTACAATGGTGATCCTGAAGAACAGCAGTTCAGGAATAAACGCCGGTTAAAGTGAAATGGTCATCATTATATTATATATTATATTGACACCCAGCTTTTGCCAGTCACATACAAACCAAACAGTTAATGCTCTGTTGAATATTCAGGCAACGAGCCTGCCCTTTCCTGAGAAAATTATGTTCTGTTATTAATAATGTTCAGCCTTGTTTGCTCTTCGCCTCCCCCTGTGAGGTGAGGACACTCGTTCCTGTATTTACCTTGGTGAAGCCCAGAGACGGAGCTCTGTCATGAACAGGCTGGTTCAGACACAGCCGGGGAAGGTATAGAGAAGTTTTTCTAAATAAGTCTAACAGGAAGTTTGCTTAATAATTCAGGGTCATTATCTCCTCCACCGAACGCCCAGGCTCCCTCTCTGTTCGCAAGGAGGAGCAGGGGGTGCTCCCCAGCGTGGCTGCAGCCTCCTGGTCCTGGTGATGTTCCCACAGTTCCCACTTTATTACTGCTGGAGAAAAAAAATCCCCCAGAGCCACCGCGCGCCTCCTGCACGCGCTGTCCCACGGCGCGGTGTCCCGTCGCGGGAGCCAGTGCCTGCGGCGCGGCTGGGGCTGAGTCCATCGCCAGCTGTGGCCGGTGTCCCCAAAGCCCCGCCGGGCGGCACTGCCACACCCTGCCCGTTTTTCACCCGTTTTTAGCTGAAGGAAGACGCTGTCGATCGGAAGCGGGGTCCAGCGTCCCGTGCACTTGTCTGCGGAGCACCCCAGCTCCTACCACGGCCGTACCAGTGCAGTGGCAGCAGTCAGGGGACGGCCCAAGCCAGGGGATGCGGGAGGCTGTATGCCCAATGTCAGCATTTCCTAATCTGCCAGGGCAGGGAGATCCTGTGTTAGACCCTCCCGAACTCATTCGAGGCCCCGTTTTTGCCACGCATTGAAGAACAGTGTTACTGGATGCACACAATAAAAGGAAAACCATACTTTCCTGCTTGTGATAGATAATACTCATTCGAGAAGAAAGTTGGAAGCAAACCAGATAAAAGCACGGCTGACACGATGATCCGACACTCCTGTGGTTTTACGTAACGCTGTCCATTATTTGTGTATTCTCCGAGTACAGGAGTGTGAGCTGTCCCACCCCGCTCAGGCCGCTCGCTTTCCTCTACTCCCTGAAGCTTAATAACATCACTGGAGATTTAGGTTTTTCGCTGTGAAATAAAGGTCGGCCTCTCTAGGGTTATTTATTACTTCTGTCAAGAATTCACAAAATGTGTCCCTCATCAAGGGATGGAGTTTGAAGACTGCCTTGTGTTTTATCTTCGATGATTGTGCTGGGCCTTTAATTATTTTGAAGTAATGTTCTCAGTAGACACCAATGGAGAGGAAATTCTGCCTAAAATGCCGATGGCATGGGGTGGTCTAAAATCCTCACTCTCGGTCATACGTGGCTTCAGAGAGACTCACAGTGTTTGGAAATGTTATTTGAATGTGCTCTTATTAACCATGCATGGACTGATTTCCTCTTATGGGTCTGGTCAGTGACTTGACTTCGGATAAATTTGGATAGTTTTGAACCTTGATTTTTCAATATTATTTTACTTTTTATTGAAGCTGGAGCTGCCACGAGGATGAGGATTTTTGCCCATCCTGGAGCAATTGGCTATGGAGCTGCCTCATGCCCGCTTGGTTTGGAACAAAAGGATGGGGTGTTTTGTACCTTCTGTAGGCGTGTGTACTACCAAAAGCTCAGAGCTCTCCCCTGTACCTGCAATAAAATATCATTGTCCCCAGTAAAATATCTCCTGGTAGAATAACAATTGTCAGCCCCCACTCTGGAAGATGCCTCTTTGCCATGATTTCTTAAGTCCCGGTTCACCCAAGTAGGTGTTTTAACTTTAAATCCTGTCTAGCAAAGCACTTGGGGGCTGCTGAGCTGAGGGGGGCTCTGTGCCTGCCAGAGCAGGGGCAAGCGCTGCCGTGGTGGGTTTGGTCCGCAGCTCCCACCCTGTCCTGGCAGCTCCTACCCATTCCAGCTGGGTGGGTCTTGGAGTAACCCCAGTGAAACACATGCCTAGACATACGATACTGCATTTCAGCACTTACAGCTGAAAATTTAGGAAGAGTTCATGGTCTGGTGGCATTACTGTACTGGAGCGCAGACCCCGATGGCTTACTTCTTTGTTTTTAGTTTTTCCTGCTGCATTCAAGAGAACAGGTTTTTCAGGCTTCCTGAGGTCAGGGATGCACACCCTGTGCTACCAGGAAGAGACCTTTCAGTGAACGCTGCATCAAACATTTCAGATCGCTTTAAAGAGAAATCCTCCTTTAAGTAAAAGTGCAGTGACTCAGTTGGTCTCACTCACCCTTTTCTTCTGGTTTGCTCTCTGCAGCTGGTGCTTCTCTCCTGGGATTGTTGTTTACATCCACTTGGGACTTACTTTTTCACTTGCTCATAGAAATACAAAGTGGGAGCAAATCCTTAAAAACCAATCCTAACAGTTTTAAATCCTATGAAGAGGAGCGCGGGCTGAGGGGGACGTGTCTGCAGCTGCCAAGCTGCACAGCGTGGAAGTGTGGGAGCTGCAGCACGCGGCCACCGCTGGGTCTGCTGCTGCATGGCTGGCGCTGCTGGGCCCGTGAGGTGGGTGCAGTGGGAGGATGGGATTTTTAGATGGTGAGGAGTTAAAAACAGTGGTTGACTGTCTTCTGGGCCTTACTGTCCATGTAGTTTTGCTGAATAATATGGTCACATGCAATCCTTTTGCTATCCTCCTATCCATTTGATCTTACTTAATTTAAGTGACATTATCAACTGAGTAAAAGGAGATGTTGCGAGCTCTACTCGGGGTAGCTGTTAGCAACGCCAGAACCAACCTGTGCTTTTATGGTTTCTTTGCTTTTGCCAAAGATCAGAACAGAAACGGTACATATGACCGACCAGGACAAGCATCACTTCATGCTCATAACCTGGTGTATTTGGTACTGACAGCATATGCAGAAGGCTAGAGCTTTATTGCAAAGCTTGGGTTGCCTGCAGTAATTTCATTGTACTAGTTTTCTCCACTAATTTGACACTGAATGCACTGATTTTTTTCTTTTAACATATATAACATATCAGCATAGCCCTACATGGTAAGAATTGAAATGATTTAATTTTCTGAGTAATAATACTTCCAACTGAAGCATGTTTGCGAGCCATAGAAAAAAGCCTGTTGTGCAAGAGGTAAGTTGCACTCTTTTGCAGAGAGGGAAACTGAGGCACAGACAGCATCAACCCGAGCTGGGTCAAAGGCATGTCAGTGGCAGAGCTGAGCTGTACCCGAGGTCTGACCTCTGCTCGCAGCCCTTGTTGCTGAGCCACATGGCTTGAGGCTTGCTTCCTTTGGAGGATGAGCTGGTGCAACAGAGGGTGAAATTTTATGAGCTATGTGTTCCCCCAAAGACAGGGTAAAACCAGAATAACATAAACTCGCACCTGCTTGTCCTACAGGGCTTCCAGACAGGAGGGATATTGTACCGAGAAGTCAAAGACCTGTGGTAAATGTGCCGTTAAGATATGCCCAATCTTTGTTCTGTATTGTGAACAACAGCTAAAATGCGGCTTCGCAGTTGTTTTGGAGACATCTCCCTGCCTTGCCTGGCGTTTTCGGTTCTCCCGTGCAGCCCCGTGCCCCATGTGCCAGGTAGGGGCGAGCCTGGACATCGCTGAGCTCCTGACCCAGCTCGCTGAATCCCTTGGTATTTGTTAAAAGAAACTCTGCACTTAGTCTTCAAGTTAAAATGTAGTAGCAAACTGAGCAAAAACTCTCTTGCGTTTAAATTGGGAGGAGTGATAAAATCTCTCTTTGCCAAAAAAAGGAAAGAATAGGCCTTATTTATTAAATACTCTTGCGACTTTTCTCCAGATAACTTTTTCCTAGGGTTGCTAGTTCTCTGCTATTCTAGCTCGGTTGTTAGAACATCAGTGAGAGAGGGTTTAGACTCATTTTTGTTTCGTTATGGTGACTTTCATCAAATAGGTAAGGATTTCATTGTGTGGTTAGGGTGGAAGGGAATGAACGTCAGAATTATGCCACCTGGGTCATTTAGGGAACTGTTTCAGATACTGTATGTCTACGTGGTCATTCTGAGGCTGGCTGGCCTTCCCAAACCAGGATCGGGATGAGGCTTCCAGGCACCAACAATAAGGCAAAATGCTCACACCTTTGGTAAGGAGGGAAGGGGTAGGTGAGCACAGGTCAGAAACGCGCCGGCTGCTGGGAGGGCGGGAGGAGGTGGGGGGTGGGTGGGGAAACGCAGACAGAAACAAAACTGGTAAATTTTGATTATTTTTGTTAAGCTGCAGTGTAAGGTTTTCTCAGCTACTAGATTCACAGCTGTTCAATGGATGGTGTGTAAGAGCATAACCCATTTTTATAGAATTGTTTCTCCTTTATTGCTTAAGGCTAATGGAGGAAATAGTCTAATTTTGTCTTAGAAATTCTCTATTAAAATTGTTGGTTTGAGTCCATCCGCTCATAGATTCTGACTGATGAAACTGCAGGCTGTGATTTCTGGCAGTTATAACTTTATCACTATTCACTACCCAAGAATATTACAGCTTTAAAACAGCCTTA